GTGTATTGTTTTTCTGCTTTGGCGACCAATTTATTAGTCGCGACAAATAAATAATTTTTTTTCGTAAAAAATGACAATTGCCGACCAAGAGTTTTGGTCGCAAAAAATACATCTATTGCCGACAAAAACAACACTTGGTCGTGGAATCTCACTTTTGTCGACCAAAAGTTTTGGTCGCGAAAAGTAACAAATAGCGACCAAATTTTTTGGTTGTAGAAACTATTATTTAGCGACGAAGAAGTTTTGGTCGTGGAATGTAATTTTTGCCGACCAATTTTGTTGGTCGTCGAAAGTAATTTTTGCCGACCAATTTTGTTGGTAGTTGAAAGTAATTTTTGCCGACCAAATTAGCGACTAACATGTATGGTCGTTGAATGTAATTTTTGCTGACCAAAGTCTTTTCGCGACTAAATAGGTTAGTCGCGATAATTATATGTTTAGCGACTAACAATTTAGTCGCGAAATAGAACATTTTGCCGACTAAAAATCTTTTTAGTCGCTAATTACTTTCCGCGACCCTCAATTGCCGACCAACTTGGCGACCAAAAAAATTGGTCGGGAATATGTTTTGCCGACCAAAAATAGACTTTTAGCGACCAATTTTTTGGTCGGCAAATGTGTTAATTCTTGTAGTGATTACATATGTAACAAGACTTTGTGTGAATACTAGCAAATAAAAAAAAAATGCAAATACTTACAATTTTGCCCATAAACTCTTTTTGTTATCGTTATGTATAAAGAATCTTATTTTGAGAATTCGCCTAGGATAGAACGTTTTGCCGACTAAAAATCTTTTTAGTCGCTAATTACTTTCCGCGACCCTCAATTGCCGACCAACTTGGCGACCAAAAAAATTGGTCGGGAATATGTTTTGCCGACCAAAAATGGACTTTTAGCGACCCATTTTTTTGTCGACAAATGTGTTAATTCTTATAGTGTATATTTGTGAGAATTTACACAATTTTGTAAGATAATTTATATATATTTATAAGAATTTATACAAAATATATGACATGTAACTTGCACACCCAAACACTTTCTATCATACCAAGTCTTCCCGTTGACTAAAACTTCAACAACCACCGCAGAAGACTCCGGGAGGAGCCAACTTTGACCGAACCCTCTCAGCATATATATTCAAGCAATATATATATAGATATTTATTATTATATAAAATAAAGAAAATTTCAAAGGCGATTTCTATTCATCTTTTTCATATTATATATTTGTACACACATAACATTTAGATAGACTGCTAATATGTATATAAATATTCTTATTATGTGAGTTCAGTCATCATTTTTTTAGAGTTTCAACTTCTGTTCTGCTCATCTCCAATTTGTGGCAAAGCTTTGGATTGCATTAGTTGTAAGTCTCTCTCTCTCTCTCTCTCTCTCTCTCTCTCTCTCTCTCTCTCGTGCTGGGATTAGCCTGTATATGTTTATTGGTTTTGTTTTTGATTCCTGAAAACTATCTGCTATAAAATGTGAGAAAAGTTCTCACACAGAGTACTATGTAGTGAATCTACATCCTTAAACATAAGCTATTACTATGAGTGAAGGCGGTGAGGATGATTGATTCTTGATGCATTAAGCTATTACTATGAGTGAAGGCGGTGAGGATGATTGATTCTTGATGCATTAATCTCAACTTAATAGTTGAATGATTAATTGATAATCTTTCCTCTTTCTTCTTTAAATGGTACATGATAATTATTTTTTTGGCAATTAATGCATGAGAAAAGTTATTATTGGTTATATGCTCTCCTAAGCCCCCCAAAAAAAAAATTTATCTCTTTTTCCTTCCCATTTTCTTTCCCTTCACAGTTATTCTATCAATTTTTTGATCCAAACACAACCTAAAGTTAATATGATTTTTATGTGAAAAGGGAAGAAGAAAAATAGTGGAAACAGTGTGTTCTAGGTCTTCTTTTGCTAAAAAAACTTGCATAGTTTTGGGTTATTAAAGAAAGACAAAAAAGTGAAATTGATGCTGACTAATTTTACAGACATGTTATGTCCCAAGAATTTAAATCTATGGTGTAGATTTAAATTTAATGGGGGTGTTGTTCATAATTAAAATAAATCTAATCCACATATTTTAAATTATATATATATATATATTGAGTAATATTATATTTTAATATATATATATATATATATTGAGTAATATTTTAGTATGTTACATCGATGATAAATTTATGAGGGAATTACATCCCCGTAGTAGGTCGGAAAAGTTTTTTTTTTTAACCCAAACATAATAGGGTGCAAGTCATACTTACAGCCTCATAGGATTTCACTTGCACCCCACCACAAAATCATTTGCATCTTATATGTTTTTTGTAATGTTTTTTTTTTTTTTTGTCCTACTTTACTATAGTTTCCCCTAAATATATTGGCCATCTAATTTTGTGTTCCCTGATGTACTATAAAAATAAAAATACTCAAAGTACGAATCTATGACAGTAGAATTTTTTCTTGTTACAGTTTCTAGTGAATTTTCTTTATTAGGAAACCATGGCATAACCGCTTTAGACGAAATGCAAGTAAACATAGAGGGATTCTTATTTACAAACTAAGATGATATTACAAAGGATTATACATTAATAAAGTCACATACTATTACAGTGATGTGCCTTTTATTTTTATTTATTTTTTATTTTTTTGATCATAATATATACAAGAAATCAAAGTGATTGAGAGTTACAAAACCAGATGAAATTACAGGGAACTATTACTCATGAGTGGACTCTCAAGATTAATAAGTGATTCTGAGGAAGGAGAAGATGTCATACCATTGGATCCAATGTTAGAACAATGAAACCTGTCTGCAATAAAATCCGACGTGCTCTTAACAGCCCAATCTATCACCCAAGAAACCGCTCCAATTAGAAAACAGAAGGCCCACTGTTCAGGATTTAACCTTGCACTGCTAGCAAGAATATTTGCAATCTTAGTATACAACGCCAACAAAACAATAGTACCAACCATCGCCATCCAAAACCAGCAGTTTCGATGGATACCCTTGAACACGTTCTTTCTTTCCAGTTCTCGTGCGTTGAACCAATTGAAAACCTGGCAAAGAACAAAACTGTTAAAGATCATATTATTACTAACCTTCTGGGTGGTGTCCAATACAGCTTGTCCTATAAACCGAAAGGTCACCAGAATTGCAGCCTGGTATAGAGCTTGAGGGACTATGTTTCTCCACATGGTTCTTGTTATTGGCGAGTTAATTGATCTTATTGGTGACTTCTTCATTAGTGTCTTGGTGGGTGGCTCCATCAACAAAGCTAGGCCACCTGGAACAGCCACGATGAAGCATACGTAGAAATACTGAATTGTTGTTATTGGGACATCTCCAAAATAGATAGTTGTGACTATATTTATCAGTACCCACGCAATGGTCACGGTGAACTCAAGTTGGATGAACTTTTGAATGTTTTCATACGCACATCGTCCACACTTCATGATGGTGAACAACGAATTGAAATCACCATTCCAGATGATGATGTTGGAGCTCTCTCTGGCCATTTCTGTGCTACCACTTCCCATTGTGATTCCAACATTTGCTTCTTTAAGCGCTGGCGTCTCATCTGTTCTGGCACCCACCATTGCAACTATCTGGCCCTTTTCCTTCAAACACTTCACCAGAAGAAGCTTGTCAGAAGGGAGTGAACTTGCCATAACACAAATTTGATCTACCATTTCCATCCTCACTTCATGTGTAGAATTTCTGAAATTTTCACCAAGCACCACTGAATCTGAGTTGGGTATGTTCAATCCGCACTCTAGAGCTATGGATTTTAACTCAGACGCATCACATCCTGACACCAATTTGATGTTGACTCCAGCACCTATGCAATCTTCCATTGATTTTCTGAATGAATTTTTCAGACCTAGTAATCCGAGCAAGATCAAGCCTGTTTCTTCAAGAGTAGCTATATCAGTTTGTTTGTATCCAAATGCAATAGTTTTGAGATGTTTACCTTGCATATCTGCAATAACTTGCTCAAAAAACACTCTTTTTTGTTCATCGATAACATTCATCGCTCCTTCACTACTGTAATAGGATGAGCACATTGCCAGTATTGTTGATGCAGATCCTTTCCAATAGGATGAGTTCACACTTTCCCCGTCCTTTCTCATCAAAACGCCACATCCTTCCTCTTCAAAGTTCAATTCTTTCACCTCAACAATGATACATTCTTGCTGCAGAATATCTAGTTTCAGTCCCAACTTCAAAGAAGCCCAAGAGAGGAGCGAGTCTTCCATTGAAGAAGAAGGTCTCTTCAATCCTAGAATTGGTGTGGCAATTCCTTTGCATAGAGCTTCTATGACGTTTGGGGCTATAGCGGATTCATTGTTGAAGAACTGTCCACTAATGTACAACATGTCAACTTCGCTCTGGTTCAAGTTTAGCCCACAAGTTTTGTCAGTGCAGATCGTTGTTACCGAACCCATGGTGATGCAAGCCAAGAAATCTTGAGTTGTGGCCTTACCCGACAAAGCTTTTTTATTCCAATAATTGAGGGCGAGAGTTACCATTAAAGGTAATCCTTCTGCAATCCCCACCAAAATAATGGTAAGTGAAGTCAATAGATTAGTCTTCCCCTTTGGCTTCTTGACAATTTTATAAATAGCATCTATAAATTCTTTGATAGCAGCCGATTTAGCTTTGAGATCAGGAATTACAGAACCAGCACTACCCTTATTGAACTCAAAACGAAGGAACAACACGACAAGGATGATGATAGTGATTAGGACGCCAATGATTTGTATGCAACTGTTCAACTGGTCAAGTTGAACTTGTAGAGGGTTGGAAGCATTTATCACATTACTCATCATTTCACCCCATACTGTGTCCTTGCCAATGGATACCACAAGCATTTTCCCTTCTCCATTAATCACCTTTGCACCGTAACACATAAATGGGTTTTGGTCATCAATGGTGGATTCCAATTCATCATCTGATTTTAAAGATTCACCAGAAATGAACAACCCATCTGCAGGAATTTGATCCCCCTTCTTCAGCCATATAATGTCACCCGATACAACATTGGATATGGAGATTTGATGTTGGCTTCCACCTCTGAAAACATGGACGGCTATTTCCCTATTCTTCGATAGCTTTTTCCTCCTTGGCTGATACCATGAATACCAATACTCGCGTATCATAGGAACAGATACAAGTACAATGATGGCACAAATTATAAATGCCCCCTCGTACCACCCGGTATGTAGGCCTTCCTCTAGAATCCCAAAGACAATGGACAACACTGCACACAAAAGGAGAAGGAAAATGAGGTACTTGTTGCATACATTCCAAAGGATATGAAAGAAGCCTTCTTGAGGAGGCTTTGTTTCAGATTGTGGGCATGTTAGGCGTCTACAGCAAATGTCATCTTCATCATTCGCCAACCCATTCTCCAAGTCAGTATCCAAAGCCTCTGCAAATCCTTGTACACCACCGAACTCACGCAGGGAATTCAAGTCCTTTGCCTTCACAATCCTCGCTATTTCAGTATTTTGAAGCTCTTTGTTGCACTTGTTGCTCTCATCAGCGCCATCGGATTGGACCTCTAGGGATACCTCGGGTGAGGTTGATATAATTGCAAGTTCTACATTCTGCTAAGGACATAGCAAATTAGTGTAAAAACCGTGATTACATCGTGAAAAAATGAAGAAGAAGAAGAAGAAAATAATTGTTTACACTGAAAATCAATCTTATTCTTCTATATATTCCAATCATACAGTGAGGCAAGCACTCATATATACACACAATACTTCTAACACACTAACTAATGTTGCTTGTCTGTCCTAACTCACTTTGTTTGATTTCTTCTAAAAGCTCAGGTTCACTCACTCTAACATCCCTCAATCGAATGGGAGAATTATTGACCATGAGTTTGGGTTTCAAAAAATTAAATCTCGCAACTGATAATGAAATAGATCAGCAATCTATAGAAGAACCAATGTGATTAATAATAATTTGTTTGCTGAGAACTTACTCTAACCTACTTTCACATTCTAGGTTATAGCATTAAAATAGAATTTGAAGCCAAGACAGCAATTGAAAGATAGTCACAGTATATTAAACACTTTAAAAGAGGTATTGTAGCAGTGTTGAACATGACACGGACACGACATGAATACACAAGGTAAAGACATGACTCCAACATGACGTGTTTAGTTTTTAATTTTTTTTAAAAATTCAATTTACTTTCCTGTGGTTTGAAACCAAAGCACTTTACCTCCTATATCCTATGGTTTAAATATAGCTAGAAAGCCCCAAAGTGGTTTGAAACTGAAGTATAATCCTTAACAACGTTAACTATATATGTGAAATGATCATAATACTCTCAAACTTTTTTTTTTGTTATTTTTCTGTCTCCTCTTTCATACACATAATTTATAATATTTAATTTTAATTCAATTAAATCACAATTAATTATAACTTCTTAATTATTTATTATGATTCTTAACTTTTTTTCTAATTTTAATTTAATTATATTTTAGATCACAATTAATCCTAACTTCTTTTAATTTAATTATTGATTGTAAATCCGACCTTGTTAATCTAATTTTAATTTGATTATATTTTAGATCAATTGTTAATTATTATTTATTTTATATTTTTATTTAATTATATTTTAAATCACTTCTTAATTATATAATATTTTATTTTAATTAACATATTAATCTAATTTTAAATTTAGAAAAAATAGAGTAAAATTATCTTTTTCTTGTATTAATTTAATTTTATTTTTTTTAGAAAATCAAACTCACTCTAAAAAATAGTGTGTGATACATTTTCCATTAGTTTGAATGAAAAAATTAACGGTGACACTTTAATCTAAAATCATATAAGAATTTTTTGACAATTATCAGAGGCACGCTTTACCACTAAGCTAATAGCCCGTCTTGCAAGCCTTCCATCAGGAACCCCTATGCCAAAAACGAGAGAAACTCCATCCTTCTCTTTTGTGTTTTTGGCCCAGTGTCGCCACAAGAGGCGCATGGGGACATAAAAAGAGATCCTATCAACTTGTTCTGACTTAGTATAATAAGCTCATGAGTTTAGTCATATTTCACCGTCGAAAAACAAAAGATGGCTTCCATCTCCAAATTTAACTCAGTCGTAACTTCTTTCTTTTTGTTATATCTGAATCATAGGGAGTAAAGTGTATGAGGGGATAAAATGAATGTAATCCTTTTTTTTTTTTCACCAAACATGGCGGGGACACACGAGGATATGGTAGTGGTTAGATGGAATGGGAGATGGAGTAAGGAATGAATTTTTTTTCTTCTCAATAAATGATTTAGCTTGTTATTGTTATTTTTTGTTGGGTTTACAAAAAAATTAGCAAATTTGTAAAAAATAAATATTAAACAAAATTTTTAAATATAACTAACAAACTATAAATGGAAATCATACCAAACACGCCTAAGTGTTAAAATTACTAGGGACATCCAATTCAACACTAGTTGGTATATATGAATGAAGTTTGAGTGATTTAATAACAAGAAAATAAGAAAGTTCGAATACAAGATCAAGACAAAAGGCATATATAATCAAGAAAAATATAAAAACTAAGTGAACGACACAAAATTAAACCAATGATAATAGATCATATGGTAGCGAATAAAATATAAAAACGAGTCAACAACACAAAATTAAACAAATGATAATAGATCATGATAACCAAGAAAATGACAACACACAATTAAACAAATAATAATAGATCATGATGTTAACAAACCAAGAAAATTGGAAAAAACAATGAGTAGTATCAATTAAAACAAAAAGAGAGAGAGAGAGCACAGAAATTCAAATAGAGAGCTTACTAGTCCATCACCATCACCGCCGGTATTAGAGGTGGCGATGGATGGTGGCGGAGGCACCACCTCAATCCCATCAACGGCCAGTGACTTGTTTCTTGCACTGGAGATGAAGGCTTGGCGTACATGGAGGATTATGATGATGGATCGCCAACGGTGACTGGGACCACTAGTACTAGTTGTACCATTATCACCACCATCTTTCACTAAGAGATGACTCTGAGATTCAAGATCAAAATGATCATCACCAGAGCTTTCCCTTGACATGTTATGATCAGATCAGAAAGAATAGGACCAAACACTGATGATGAGGAGGGGCACAAGAACTATGGGTTATGGACTGATGAGGGTGGGGGGAAAGAGTGTAACATATATACATGGAGGGCAACACGTAGGAAGTTTCCATGCAACTTTTAAAATAAAAATATATAATAACATAATATCTTCTCCTTTTTTTTGGTAAAACTTGAAATTAGTCAAAACTAAATGGAGGAATACAAAACTCGACGTTGTGCTGCTCCATGGATTCATTTTGGCATTCGTTTTAATGGTTTAAGCCGTTCATATTTTAGAGTATATGGAGTAAAATATACTTATAAAAAATTAAATTAATCGGATATCTTTAACCCTTTCATGCACTCATATTTATATTCATTTTAATATTTTAAATCACAACATCATATATTTTTATAAATACAAATGTGAGTGAATAAAAGAGTTAACGAATATTTGATTAACTTGATTTTTTACAGGTATATTTTACTCAATGTACTTTAAAATATGAACGGTTCGAATTTTCAAAACGAATCTCAAATAAACGTATAGAACAACACAGCAAGCACCCCCAGATGGGTGTGGGGGTTAAGAACTGAAGAAGTTACAAAATTTGAAACTTGCAATTAGATAAGTAAAATTACTTCGGGGTAATTTCAAAAGATAAAATGTATGATAGAGTTTCATATTCTGAATTGTACAATTTATATAATACTCTAGTATAGATTTATGTATAAATTAGAGAGAAGTGATGGATGAAAATAATTTACAAATAGAAATGGAGGTTTATTATAATTTATATATTACCAAACTATTTCATTTGAATTATTAGATCATGTTTATTTAAGGAGTGGCATATTTATTCGTTAAATTATAAAATTGATATAATTTTATAAGAAAAAAGTTAGGGATCATGAAAAAATTTTCATGAAAATGATCATGAAATATTTATGATTTTTAAATTAGCTTGATTAGTGTGTGGTGCTTTATTCTAAGTATATATAATCCAAGGGTCACAAAGCTTTTATGATTATTTTCATGAATGGTTTTTCATGATACCTAACATTGTTGATTTTATAAATCACTTCTTATAATCTTCAGTTAATCCAAATATGGGATAACATAGAATCAAAAATAATTAATGATCCCAAAACAAACAGTCAAACCAATACTAATCTCATCTAATTTTTCTTTCCTCAAACAAATATTACTTCATCTGATATATGATTTTTTATTTAGAAAAATAAATCTTACTATTTTTTAAATGTAACGAGTCTACGAGTCTTAAGTGATAATAAAACTAGAACAGTGCTACAAATCTCAAATATTTTATCAAATATTGTATCAAATGTCTCACATAGAGATAAGACTCACATGAAACTCACATGATGTGAGTCCCACGAGACATTTAGTAAAATATTTAATAAAACATTTGGGGTTCTAATATTTTTCATAAAATTATTTTTAAAATAATGTTATTTATTATTTATTATTAATTTTTCAGACAAATGAATACAAATGTTTATTGTTTGTGCTTATCCTAGCGATAATGAAATTTTCACGCGGAATAACCGATTAAGGCTTCGTTTGGGAAGCCATGGTTTGGGCTTTTTTGGCTATTTTAGCCACAAAAAACAAAATAGGCTATTTTAGCCATAACAAACAAAACATCACATCCAACCCATAATCATTACATTCTTCTCTCACAAAAAAACTCAAAAAAGTCAAAAAGCCAAAAAGCCCTTCCCAAACCAAGCTTTAAGCCCAGACTAAAATAGCCAAAAAAATCAAAAAGCCAAAAAGCCAACCCACTTCCCAAACGGAGGCTAAATTGTTCAGTTGGTAGAGGCGTGTCAACTTGAGCTTCTCTAATCATTGTACACGCACCAAGGATCCTCTAGAGTGAAATTTCCCTAAAGTTTCTTAGAGTGTTCCATTATGTGGTTGAGATTCACTGGCAAGTCACATCAGAAAAATTGATGTGACTTGCCAATAAATCTCAACCACACAATGGAGCACTCTAGGAAACTTTAGAAAAAAATCACTCTAGAGGATCCTTGCTCATTGTGCACGTGTAACAATCACGCCTTTTGAAATTTCGAATTACTACCGTGTTGCCCTCATTTAGGGCCCCACCACCATGTTTATAATGCGTATAAATACATCCTTAAATACGAATTGTTCTTTATAATTTAAAAAGTTATAAATACTTTTTTATTAAAAAAATTTATTTAGTAAAATTTTTAATTGTTCATCTATACAATAATAAAGTTATCTGAATTATTAATTGAAATAAAATTTTAACATTATTAAAAATTGTTAATTAACTTAATAATTTATTAATAATATAACCTATTTGTTATGAAATTAAGAATCTTAAGGGACGTAATATGATTTATAATTTCTAGAACCACAGGGGTAGTTTGTAATTTAAGTAAATCTCAATGGGTGTGTTTGTAATTTACCCTTAATTTAATAATTCAAATTTATTTTATTCATAAATTTCATCAATTTATTTATCATTATACAAATATATTTTGGGTAAATTATGAATTGATAAGAGTGAGTTCATAGCATTTTTGGAATTTAAATTGTTGTTTTTATAATGCTTATTAAAAAAAATTATGCATGTTGAAAAATTTAACTTACGAATACTCTTTTTGAAATTTGTTTGAAACATGTGTTACTCCTTGTAGTTCTGGAAATTATATCATGCCCCCCTTGAAGTTTTAATTTCATAACAAATGATTAATTTTATTAATAAATTATCAAGTTAATTAATAATTTTTAATAATGTCAAAAATATATCTTAATTGATAATTCAAGTAATTCTATTATTATATAGGATTGTAGTTAGAAATTTTATTTATTCGGTTAATTCTGTTAAATAAAAATTTCTTACAAGTGGATATTTGTAATTTTTTAAACCACAAGACAATTCGTATTTTAAGTAAATTATATGGGGTGTATTTGTAATTTACTCAAAAAATTAAATTGACTGAATATTAATAATTACATAATTAGATTAAATTTATTTATAAAATAGTAAATCTATTCTCAAAATAATATTAAGCATATGTATATATATATATTAAATAAATGTAATTTAATTATGCGACTATTAATATTTGATTAATTTAGTTTTACATATGGATAATCTACTGATAGCTAAAGAATAACATGTTGATTATGTAACTATCAAATGTTATGTTGACTAGATAAATATAATTAAGTTAGGTAAATATCTGATCAATTTAAATTATATTCTCTAAATTAGTTAAAGAATATTAAAATGAAATGTACTTAGAAATGCTCTTATAAAATTATATAAAATCTCACAAAACAATTTTTTAATTTTAGATGAAACATGATATTTGGAAGGGAATTTACTAAAAAAATTGAGAGCTATTACACAATACAGTTCAATTATCACAACATTAGTTTTTACTAAAATTAGATGATAAGAACCAACCAACGGCCTGTACGAGTAAAATTAGTTTGAACCAACCAACAGTTAAATTATCACAACAGGGCTATATTAACACAATTTTTTCCCCCTTACAATTCCACTAATGAGGTAACCAGACAAAATGCATGTAAAAGAATTTTAAACGAAAATATTTAAATGTAAGTCAACTTTTCAAATTTGGCTTACCATGTCATTAGGGACATTATGAGAGAAAAAAAATATGTGGATAAATCATTTTTCTTTAACATATTTGTGTAAATATATTTAAAGAAAATTTTATGGTACACACTCCCTCTATGTACTTTTGGTTATGATCTTTGAGTCAATGGTTATAATCTATTGTATTGTTAGTTATGACAGATTATGATGTTGGTTATGACAAAATTTCTGTTATGATCCAATAGTTGTTTAGTTATACTTCATGTGATATTCAGTTCTAATTCAATTTATTTTTAGTTATGTCTTCTATAGTATTGAGTTATACCATTTGTAATAATTAACTTACAAATGGCATAATTTGCATATGGTACACAGAGAGAGGGTGTGTACCATAGTATTTTTCTTTATTTAAAACTTATATAAAAATGGTGTAGACAAAAAATAATAATTTTTTTCTTTTTTGGTGATTTTTTGTTGATTTTTTTTAGTGATTTTAAAAAAACAATCAAAAAGGTTAAATTTTTTGGATTTTACTTGATGGACCAGAAAATTAAAATATTTATAATAAAAAAAACTAAAAATAATTAGTTTTTTTTGGCTTAATTTATTTTTAAAACAAATTTAAATTTAATTTTTTAAATTTAAATGTTCCCAACCAGTACTATCTTTCTAGATATTGCAACTGCAACTATAGTTCGATGTATATAGCTTATTTTGGAAAGTAAGTTAACTTTTTTATTCTATTTTTTAAAAATATGTAAAAAAAAAAAATTAAAGAGATAATATGATTCAAAAAAATTTTGAAAATTAAAAAATTAACTTTTAACCAAAGCCTCGTTCGGAAACAGGTTATTTTAGTAATTTTTTTGAATTTTTGGCTAAAATAGGAGGTAAAAAAATTATGTTTTGAATGAATTTTTGATTTTTTAAGAAAAGATGTGTAAAAAGTATAAAAAAAAAAATGAAATCTTTTAACTTTTTAGTATAAGTTATAATTTTTTTAATAATTTTTTAATTTTTAAATTAAAACTGACATATGCCAAATGAAAGTTTTCAAAATAGGCCATATAATATCTAGATATTGCATTTTGTTTTTGTTTTTTTGTTTTTTTTTTTTGAACAAGTAGATATTGCAAGTTGCGACAAGTAATAACATTCAAAAAAAAAGTTACAAGAAATGCAACGCGTATATGGAAAGACACGGCAACTTGGTTTTTTTCTTCAAATGTCAATTACGATGATCATTCCAATTTTAAAATATACACACACACCAACAAACTCTTTGGCGTTTTGGCAATATAGTAGTAATTTGGAAACTTGGTAGAAAGTTAATTTTTTAATTTTTTGTCAAATTTTTCTAAAAAAGTCACAGAGTCATTTTTTTGTCAAAAAAATCACCAAAAAAGTTAAAAAGTTAAAAAACTAGCTTTTTATCAACTTCTCAAAATAAAAAGTAAATTTTTTAGTTTTTTAATTTTTTTAATGACATTATCTTTTTATTTTTTTATTACAAAAAAATCAAAAAGTCATTAAAAAATCAAAAAATCAACTTTACCAACTTTCCAAAACATCACTCTATAAATATGACATAATTTCACTTGTATTCCTTTTAGTTAAGGTGAAATTAATTAAAAATTCTATATATTTTGAAATGTCATTATTATTTTTTCATTTATCGTAATTACTAATAAAAATAAGGTAAATGTCTTTTGGTACTCAATTTATAAG